TGTTCCTTTTGATTTCTTGCTTGTTCTTGATCCAATTTTAATCACCTATGAATGATAATTTTTCCTCATTTCAATGATGAGTTGGGAGGTCTCTGAGGATGGTTTTGGTCAAAGCTTGACTTGTTTTTGGGTTGAATTTTATGAGCTTATTTTGACCCTCGATAACCCTTATTCAAAATGGAGCACCCAAGTGAATCAATTCCTATGGTGATGTTTTGAATTGACTATGGTTTTGTTGTTTTGGCCTCTAGTTTCCAACATCCTTATGTGCTTTTGGTATTTTATTTGGATTTATTTGAACTATTTTCCTATTTTTGGAGTAGCTTGCAAGTCAAGCTACTTCTAAGGATGGTTCACACACACAATTGACCTAGTTTTGATGGGAAATGACCCTTGTGGATCCCAAATGCTTCCAACTCTTTTTTATCCACATTCATAACATGTTGACGTTGTTGGATGACAATTTATAGGTCATAAATTTGTTTGGTTCATGTTGTGAGTTGCATTCTTTTTAGGCCTTCCATTTGGTTTCAAATGTTGAAAGTGTATAGGACCTAGGTCCTTTACCATGCCTATTCTTGCAACATGTGTTGGCTTGCTTCCTTATTGAATTTTCCTATTCTCTTATCTTGTTCTCACTTCTGTCCTAGGACTTTGGGGACTCATCCAAGTTGATTTGGTGCCTCTTGTTTGCACTTTGAGTTTGACTTGGATGAGAGGCCATTTTGAGAACTTTCTTTTGGTGTGAACTTGTCTAGTTTCTTTTGTGTGCATTTCCATTTTGTCTTGCATCTCTCATTTGTATGCTTGAGGTTGAGATGTTCTTGTGGAGGTGTAGCGGTAAAAATCGTGAGTGTAAGTTATTGATTAACTTAACTCAAAGAAAACAAGAGTCGCCACCGCACTTTTATTTTATCCCAAAAAGGAAAGGAAAAAGAGCGAACAAAACAAAAGAGTTCTAAAATAAGAACAAGAGACAGAGATCGGGGTAAGGGGGTTGGTTACACAATGGGAAGGTGTTAGCACCCAAAACGTCTATAGTACTCTATAGGAGCCCTTTGAAATATTTACGTTTTTTAGTTTGAAAATGGTTTGTTTGAAAAGAGATTGGGGAGATGAGAAGAGAATTATTTTTTTAGATTTTTGTGTTTGGAGAGACTTATCGCCTCATGCCTACGTACCCATAAAGTGCAATATGGGATCAAAACCCCGTAGTTCGTGGTACAAATGACAAAAATTTGTTGGTTTTGATTGATTTTAGATGTAAAGACAAGTTGTCATTTTAAGTAGAAAACTGCGACTATTCACCCACGAGTATTAAGACAACATCTGCGTCACATAAAGATGGAGGATTTGCTTGGATTATCAACAAGACTATCACTCAACATCAACGTGGAAAATGTCAAAGTCTTAATAATATGGGGAATAGGAGAATTACATCTCAACTATAAAAATGAATCATGTCTAAACTTTATGACAAGTTTTAAAGTGAAAAAGTGCATAAAGGAACAAAAAGAGTTGATGAGTTTTTGTATTTTTTATGTCTTTTGAAATTGGTCAAAGCATGATTAACATTGATTGACTTTTATTAAGAAGAACACAAGTTTAAAAATCACTTGACGAAAGTCAAGGTTTTATTGCGAAAGCGGTTTTGAAGTTTGAAACCAAGAAGGTTTTGAAAGAGGGAGAAAGTTTTGAAAATTTAAGAAGGGGAGGAGATGAAGTGACTATCCTAGAAACCAAAATAAAAGCTAGAGATAAGAAAGATCTAACCGACTTGTAGCACACTCCATAGCAAGCAAAAAAGAATTCCATCTGATTTAAAGCATAAGCTAATGAGCGAGCCAAATAAAGGCTAAGATCCACAATACTCCAAGCATAGGAATGAGAGTCCTAATTCTAAGTCCAAAAGTCCATGAAGTCCAAGGTCTAAGAGTATTCCAAGAGCATAACCACAAAGTTAACAACACCAAGTTTTTTTAGAGATTTTTATCCTTTATTAGTGTTTTGAACAAGGTATGGTCCAAGTTGACAAAAGAGAAATGACATAAACATAAACAAAGATATGATATGAAATGATAATATGGAAACATAAAAGTAAGAAATAAGGAGTAAGAAGAGAATATAAACAAAATTAAACAAGGATAATATTAGTGAATTAGTAATTATTGGTTAGAACATATGATCAATGATGATTAATTCTTGCACTTTAGACCAAGGTTAATGAAAACTCATTAGAGGATTGATAGAATCAAAGCCTCCTAACAATGAGTTTCATAGGTAGTGGACTTAAGACAAGCAACTAATTATATTTGGACTTTCAAACGTAAGTTTGAGTCACGAATGATCATTTTCCGATTAAGGGACACTTTAGCGCTATGTTAAGAAATCGTAATCGGGTTTATGTAGAAACCACGACTATCTGAGGCCGGTCAATAAAATGTTAGTGTTAACACATGTTAGAGAAGTGATATGTAAATCACTCTCCTAAAACATGCCACACAAAAAGAAAAGAGGTAGTGATCTCATCATAATCAAGATTTTTAATCAATTAATCAAAGGTAATCTATCACTATTCCAAAGTAAGGAGAATTATCTCAATGATTATTCGTCCATAGATTTGAAATAATGAATATTAAACAACCTTGATAATCAACAATCTATGATCCATAGATTTTCATCGATCAAAAATAAAAGAAGAAGAAAGAGAACTAAAATGAAATGCAACCACAATTTGAATCTTAAATCGATTAAATTATCATCAATATCAATCACCTCTCTTGGTGGATAAAATCAACACCCAAAGTCCATTGATATTGATGAAATATTATCAAAAATTCAAGATCCAAATCTATTTTTTAAGAAATTATTTCAACCATAAAAAAAAATTATTAAAAGAAAATTGATAGAAAGTCTTTCAAAAAGAGAGGGAGATTTTAAAAGAAAAGAAAGAAAATATTAGGCCCAAACCAGAAAAAAATAAATAATAAAATGAATAATAATAATAAAAACAGAAAGTGTATCCTCTTTTTCAATGGAAAGCAACGTGACGCTATTCACCATGGGCGTAAATCGAAAATCCAACGATCGGAATGACGAAACTCCATTTTGGTACCATCTCAACCGAAATCACAAGGTGAATCCAAATACACACAAAATTTCAACCAACAGAGCTCATATGAAACGAGATCAGAGATGAGAGTTCAATCGGCAAAACTCCAATACCTTCAAAAATGGAGAGATTAACTTCAATCTTCTTCTTCTTGCTTTCTTTTGAATGCGAATTGCTGCTGTTATTGTTGAATAAAGTTGAAGTATAGTGAGATTTTGTGTGGAAAAGGTTGTGAATGAAAAGAGAGTTGAATTGGGTGAAGCTTGAAGAATGGTTGAGGATGACTTTCGAAGGTGAAATTCGAAGGGAAATTGAGGAGAAAAAATATCAGAGTGATTTTGGCTTCAAAGCTTGAAGAAATTGAAGGGAAGAAGCTCATATTTATAGTGAAAATGAGGTGAGTCTTCTGAAAAATGATTTGCCGTTAACGTGTTTTTTCTGCGTTTTGGTTCAATACATTACTCGTGTGTCTTTGTTGAAATTCTGGTGAATATTTTTGTTGTCGTTTTGCTTCTTTCTTTTTGCAGCTCACTTAGGTGACGTGGAATGTTTTTTTTAGCTGGCTCACATGCTACTCATTTTTGCTACAACTTGTGAATATGGCTTGGTTGATGTCTTGGATACGTGAAAATAGTCTGGATAAAAACAAAGCTTCTGCTACCATAGAATTCTATTTCCCGCCGCTTCTTGATACCGCTTGTAGAGATTAGCTCCAAATGCACTGTATGGTAGCCAGTCAGCTAGAACTACATTCTCAACACCATCATCAATTCTTAGTAGGTGTGTGGAACTCATTTTCAACCTGTTAGCAGCTTGGTTTTTTTTCAAATGCGGATGAAGAACACGATGCCGTCATGTTATGTTATTTGCCTACTACTTCAGGAATCTTGACTCATGATTATGATGAAGAGCCTCTTGTCAAGGGCACTAAATTAGAACAGCAACAGCCACCTGGAAGTAAAGCTCAGCTCAATCGACAACGTCGATAAATTACGTGTTGGGTAAGGTCGTACTAAATACAAGGAAGAACCAGACAGTTACGCATAATGCATCTCCCAGATCGCAATTCCATTAACTGGTTTGCAATGTTGTTAAAGTTTCTTAGGGAGATCATATGTCTTTTTTAAGAAACTTGGAAGCTGATTCATCATTTTAATTTGATTTCCATCAGCAATCAATTTTGATCTGCTAGTGTTGTTATCCAATAATCTGATACTGACCATCATGTGCATTAGAAGGAACACTCGGGCATGGAAAATCATCTAGAGCTTGAATGCCCTGTTTCTTGACAGTGCAAACAAGCTGACTGCCTTGGGTTGATATGATGGGTGTTGCTGGTTGCTGGGGTAGGTCCTCGAGCTCTTGCTGGCATGCGAGGGCCAGTGCCACATATTTCTGTCAACTGTGTAAGAATCTCGTCACAGCCACCAATGCAACCCAAATGGTTGACATTGTAGCTTGGTGGTATTTCCAGCTGCCGAAACTTGAATTGAATTAAGAAAACAGGACCAGGAGTGCAATTGTTGCAAGTATTGGTGGTCACAACCGCTTCTGATACTGATCCAGAGAGCCAGACAACACTTCTACACTGAGGGTAACCCAAGCATCCAACCATAAACTTGCCATCTCAGTTTTTCTTTAGCACCATATCTGATTCTTGGCAAAGTCCACACCGCCGAACAACTTCCTCGGTTGTATTTTGATGCTCACTGCCAACTCTATTTGATCTTTTAAAAAATATCGCCATGGCCTCTAAAATTTTCACTTTATTTAATCTTGCATCTAAGAAACAAGCTTTCATCTGCTGTAAGCTAGTATCCAGGACTTCACCTTTGTTCTTAAATTGTGTACTGACTCAAAGTTTGTTAACGGCTGCTGTTTTTGATGATTACCAGAGGAATGTGGAAGTGCTTCTTGGATCAAGATCACGTTCAAAATCCTGTTTGTATTCCCTAACAAAATCAACATGCTTATTTACGGAGTCTACTGAAAAGCAATCCCTGCAAACACCTGAGAGCTCTTTCTTGAGAGATTGAGGAACTTCTGCAATTGTAGCTGTTGGATATTTGTAGCAGCGGTGGAGCAACGCGTTAACCACAGCCAAAAGCCTCTCTTTTCTTTTTCCCAGTCCAGAAGTAGCAGTGAATGTAGCTTGTGGCAAAATTAGCAACTTTGGATATATTAGTTGACCTCTATAACCTTTTGGTTTCGAATATAATCCCTCAAATTGTAAAGAAAATACCTGTTCCAGTTCTTTGCTTGAATTTTTATGCCAAAGAGAAAGATGGCAAGATCTAGACAGCGTGTGAACAGCCACAAAAAGGTTAAGTTCTTGGTGGTGGTCAAAGCAAAAAACGTTGTTACGGAGATGACTCCTGTGATAAAAGGCGTACTTAGGAAAGGTAGAAATGCCTTGTCCATAACTGATCTCAATTTGTTGAAGTGAACCATCTGACGTAATGGCAGTGAACAAGTAAGACTCATGCATATCAGAGTCATTGTCAGAAAATAAACCAACAATAGGTGAAGAGATTTTCAAATGCTTCTTTGTAATTTCTGCCACAACTTCACCATTAAATTTGATAAAATACTGAGTATTATAGTCATCAGCAACGCCAAGAATTTCATCATCTTCAGACCAAGCTCCCACACTAAATGTACCAAAATCAGAACCGGTGAAAATTGCATACGATTCCTGATAATCATCCTCTTTACTCAGAATCATAATTCGATTTCCAGCAACAACAGCAACGTACTTGGCCGTAGGTGAAACAAACAGCGACACTAATTTCCTAAGTCTCTTTGGTTCATTATACTCGGTCCATTTCTCTTTGAGTTGAGTCACACCTTGAATTGAAAGGAGAGAAAGCAACGTTCCCTTGGAATCTTCATTTGCCTGGTGTTGTTGATTTTGTTGAAGTTGGAGTTGAGGAGGGTAATTGGAAGTGTGGCGTCGCGTCTCGTAAAGCGGAACCTCCATGTGAGAACAGTTACTGTATCTTCTCCAAAACCCCAAACTTCAAGAACTGTGCCACATTCGAGTATGGACTTCAGCATTTGAGTCGTCAGTTTTGTAATCCAAATCGTCAGGCCCGTCACAATAATCTTCATCATCAACTTGAACAAGTGGATAAGAATGTGAAGAATTTTCTTCATTAATCGTCTCATCCGTTACAGTGTAGAGGTCATAAACATAGTCCTCTTGTTGGGAATGAGCACTTATATCAACTTCAATCTCTGCAGCAGCATTAGGAATAACCTCTCTTAGCAAAGGGAGGAAACTAGACAAAATTTTTTGATCCTCCAAGGAGATATCTTTGTGCTGCACCTCCTTAATTTCTTCTTGAGAGTCAACACGAACAATGTCATAGAACTGGCATATTTCTTGTAATGTATTTTCAACAGATGTACCCTTATTTACTTTCCTGCTCTTCCATATTTGCTCAAAACGAGCCTCTTTAGCTGAAGACTATTTTTCTTGTTTAGCTTTAAACAAGAGTTGATCTGGCTTTTTTTGAAGATGTTCTTCCTTCTTTCTCTAGTAGCTAGAACTTGATCATAACAGTTGTAAATGAAGATCAGAGTAGTACTCATACCAACAATAATCAAAGCGCCGTAAGCATGCATGTTTTGCGTTGCTGTATTTGGATTGCAGTTACTCAACTTGGAGCATCGATTTTGCTGAGTTGAACCCATCCTGCAGTAATATCCTTTATCGCAAGAAACTTTGCGCGTGGGAGACGGACAATATGATCCCGAAGAACAAAAGATATTACTATTGTTCACAACACCAGACCAAATATCAGCACTACCACAAGTATGGTTTGTGTCTCCAGCAGGAATTTGATAACTATATGGATCGCATACTCCAGTTGTTTCATTCAGTTTTGCAAGTGGATAATAAGAACCAAGTGGACATGTTATCATGCAAGTTAATCCTTGAGGACAGAAAAACCCTTCACAACATGGTTGACAGTCATTGGTTCTAGAAGGAATATCCTTTGTATCCGTTTTGAGATCAATTTTCTGATCAGCACTACAACTCCAACCAGGCTCACAACCAGAAACCCATGAAGTCAAGTTGCAATTTTGGTTCGGTTTTACGTAAATCGCAGACGTGCCTCCTTCTAGGAAAAAACTCTGAAAGTAGTTTCTTATTTCAGCAGTGGTACAAATTCTATCAATAAAATCACCTTTTTGCTTAACACAAGCCTCCACAAAATCCAATTTCTCCTTAAAATTAAAGGCTTCTTCCCAATCTTTATTCCTTTATCTAGAGATAGAACCTGTGGTAGTAGTAGCAAACTTGTGATGATAAAAATGGACAAGAATAAAATGTGATTCATTTTCATTGCAACATATCGCGAAGATGTTGCTTGTTCATGAAGCAATGCATAATGTGGCATGAATTGTGAACATGGTGATGAAGAGATTAGAAACAAAAGATTGTAGGAATGGAGAAATTGAAGTGACAGATTTTGATTTTGTTGATTGGTGTGTTTTGGTCCTATTCGCTTCTCTCAAGTAATGACCATGATCTACCTCCTGCTTTCTAGACGTCTGGTGCAACAATAAACTAAAACATGCACATTAGATAGCCCATAAATTCTGCCAACAATGAATTACCTATACTGTGCCAACCATTGTTTACACATATCAAGCACAGGAAGTGCATTTGCATGCAGTGTCTGATGAGCAATATATTGAACATCAGCCACACTTCCACTTCGCGAAACAATTTGAAATGCACTTTTTAAACGGCCACAAACTACACAAGCAAGAACTTCAACCGAAGACAGGGCGTATCCTTCCTGATTTGCTTGTGGACTCCAAAGCTCTTGCTGAAGATTTCTATCAACCCAGTCTTGATTTGTCACTCTTCTAATTCAGATAGCTGCTGAACACGAACCATATTTGAAAGACCTTGAATAATACCTATGCCTTGAAAATGATCTTGAAAACTTGTATGATGCATGTCCTGTCTTGAAAACTTGAATGACATTTGAAAATTGGACTTTGAATTGTGACAATCATCTTGTCTTGTTAAACTCTTGACAACCTTCAATCATGCTTTAGAATCACTTGGAAATGGCACACTTGAATGAGCACTTTGGACTTGTATCCTAAAACAAACATCTTGATTGAACATCCACCAAACCTGACTTATACAGACAAAACTCTGAATCTTTGATTAAAACTAGGCCAAACTTCTCATAGAACACTGCTCGATAAACTGATGATTCTCCTCAAGGCCACTTGACCTCGAATAATCATCTCTTGAGAAAATAGACCACTGATACAGATACTTGCAAATGAAGTAATCCCCTGATAGTTTGACCTTAATTACACATGAATAGCTATACTCGATTCTAAGCCGTTCCTTTGCCATGAATCTCCCTACAAAACAAAAATTGAAAAATATTTTTGGTCTTTTGGTTAGAGGTTAGTAAACAAAAACAAACATAAAGCAAGTATGAAACAACAAGGGACCTAAGAAAAATCAAAAAGTATGGTCTTGTTTGTGGAATGATATGCAAATGAAATGTGGGATCTTAGGGGTAAAAATTAGGGTATTACAGGAGGCTACTTCCCCATACTTTGTTCCTCCCTCCTTTCTTCATTTTTGTTGTGCATTACATGTTTGCATCCTTTCTTCTTTTATCTTATGCTTTGTTCTTCCTCTTTGTTTGCCATGTTCCCTTAGGACCTCTAATCTCTCTTATTCAAGATTGATTATGGTAGACCTTAGGTTTGAATCCATGCATGATAACATTAAGTAGCAGTCCCTTTTCATCCCAATCATAGGTGCACTTTGTATGAGAACATTAGGTTGGGTTTAGTCTCCCTTTAGAGTTATGTCTTTCTCTTCTCATCTTTAAACTCTTTCAAGACATTTAATAATGGATAATGAATGTTGTACGCTACGAGCCTTAAGAATTTGGGAAATGATGATTTGGGGGCCTCCTCTCACTTTTCTCGAGTGTTTAGCGTATGTCCTTTGGACGATATGCGATGCATTCGCCCCTAAGTCATAGTCTTTAGTGCAACATGAATTACAAACCAAATTCAATTCACTTCTTCTCTAAAAGACTTCAAAAACAAACATCAAGTCTTGTTATCCTTCAGGATTAATTCGAAAACCATTTTCATAAAGAGAGTTTTGTTAACTCTTGGTTCTACCGCAAACAGGTAACGCCTAAGTCTCAAATGGTCGAGCCACATACACCTAATTGCTAGAAATAAGTTTTAACCCTACTCGGGTAAAACACTTGAACCAACCTGTGGTCTTGTTAGCCCGAACTACGTTTGCTCTGATTTCTCGTACCAAACGAGGATACGTAGGAACAAGACGGCGATGTCTTGGCGGGCAACCTTCCCCACCTTCGCCCGTAGTTTTCTGAACTACGTTGACTCTGACTTTCCCATTGCATGAGGGAGTACGTAGGCATAGAGTGGAAATGCTCTATCGAGTCTCTTTTCTTTTGTCCCAGTAGCCTGTAGCTTAGATAGATAAACACTCTTTTAGATAGGCAACAAACGTGGATCCCGTCAAGTACGACGGACGTGGGGGGTGCTAATACCTTCCCCTTGCGTAACTGACTCCCGAACCCAAGATTTCGTTGCGATGACCTGTCTTTTCCCCTTTTTGTAGGTTTTCTCTGATCGTTTCTGTTGCACCCCAAAACTTGCCCAACTTTTTTTCCTTCTCATTGCATTCATATAGCATTAGCATCTGCATACCATTGTCCATGTACAGGGGATTGAAAGAGATGTGCCTATCAAGAAGAGGCTATCAAAGGTTTTAGGGCTAATCAAGAAGCTATAGTCAAGTTATCTTCCTCACCAAGTCACCAGAAGAAGTCAGAACTCTCTGGAGAAGGGGATGGATACAAGTGTGCCTACCTCATATCTTGGGGGTCAATGAAGATTATCTGATGATATTGAATCCATGGCTATGGGTGGAATCCATTATGAGAGCTCGTTGAGTGCCTTGACGGTTATTTAGGGGCTTGTGCAAGTCATTATACAAAGTACAAGAGGCCACGACCAAAGGTGGTGTAGCTAGGGTTTTCACCTGGTCCACCCTAAATCAACTGTGAGTCTTGAGGAGATTAAGACTCAATTCCAAGCAATTATGATCATGGAAGGTTGTGTTGATACATGTCATACATCATTTTAAGATCAATTCATCAATACTCAAGAGTGTGAGAAGTTGCTAAGCTAGGGTTTTTAGGCTTGATAGTGTAAAATCCCCTATTTTGGTGCTCTAACTTCAAGACCACATAACTCAAGATACAAGTTTCATATCATCTTGACACCAACATTAGACTTGTATAGAATGTTCTTAGCTTTTGTTTAAGTACTAGAAGTCATTCATCTGATTTCTAGAATTCAAGTTATGAAGCAGACAAGTTACAGGTCATCAGATGAATGTGATTTTGGTCCTTGAAAATCAATCAACTTCCAAGACACTTTTGACCTAGAAAGATGTCTCTCCTCATCTTGACCCAAACATGAGAGTTGTTCCTCATGACCTTATCTTTCCAAAGAGTACTTGAAGTCCTTCATCTGATTTATGAAGCTCAAGATATGAAGCTTTCAAGGCAGTGGTATTTTGGGAAACTTTGATTATAGGTCACTTTTAATTATAGGTCAATTTCACCACTTTTCACATCTCAAATGAAAATCTTTCCAACTTCAAACTTGCTCCAAATGGGGTCATTTGCTCAACTAAACATCAAGGCATCATTGAATTGGCTTGGATATGAGAATGCTTGAAGAAATTTCCATGGAAGAAAGCTTTGAAAGGCCATCCAATCCATTTTAAACCAAATTCATGTCATATGTGTGCATATTTTGAGTGCCTTAAATGTTCTAAGAACAATGCCAAAACCATAAACCAATTTTGAGATCATTTACATGGCAAAATTCAAGATTACTTCACCTTGAAGTAACAAAATAAAAATCAACCATTGATTC